TTCCCTAATCAAAAATCCTGCAGGACTCCTTGAAAAGAGAAGAATGCACTCACTATAAGAGTTGAATTATCTAAGTGTCCATCAGTGGATGAATGGATAAAGATGTCTCTCTCTCTCTCTCTGTCACACACACACACACACACACACACACACACACACACACACACACACAGGAATACTATTCAGCCATAAAAAAAGAATGAAATTCTGCCATTTGTGACAACACAGATGGACCTTGAAGGTATTATGTTACGTGAAATAAGTCAGATGGAGAAAGACAAATATCGTATGATTTCAAAATAAAACAAAACAAACTCATAGATGCAGAGAACAGATTAGCGGTTACTGGAAGGGAAGGAGGTTAGGTGGGTGGGTGAAATGGTTAAGGGGGTCAACTGTATGGTGGTAATGGATGCTACCTAAACTTGTGCTGGTGATCTCTCTTCAGTATATACAAATATACTATAAACTATATACAAATATACGAAGTATACAAATATACTGCGAAGTATATACAAATATACTGCAAAGTTGAATTATAATACTGTATACCCGAAAGATATACTACAAAGAGAGTTGAATGATCTAAATTATCTTGAATATACAAGTCCCACATATGGCTTATTAGAAATAAGGTTTGCCCGACACCTTGCGAAAGGTCTGGCACACAGCAGGTGCTTAGTAAGTGCCACCTGACCTCAGGTCCTTGCAGCCTGTGTAATCTATGGCCTTTCACTCTCAGGGGCCAGCCTCAACTTGGACGGACAGCACAGCCCAACTCACTGGCAGCTCAGTCCTCGCCTACCCCCACATTGTGCCCTGAAACTTGTTGCTTTCCAAGGACAGCACTCAGCCTCCCGCACCCACCCACCTAGCCGGGATCCTGTGAATGCCATCATTTTGCCAAGACTTATTGCTAATTAAGTTAACTAGGTAAGCATTAAATTAAACTAGCAGTGTTGCTGTTTCCCCTCCAGACTGAATAATTACTCATAATGAGCTTGGATAATAAGTCTCTAAATAACAGAGAGGTAACCATAATTAGGCTGAAAATTGAGAGAGAGAGAAGGAAGGGAGAAGAGTAGAAAAGAAAGAAAGACCTGAGGGGGGAGAGAGATTGTTTATACTTTGGTAACCGATTCAAGGACAAATTCAAACACTGCAGCCAGTGTTACAGATTCATGGAATGGAAGGATCTCAGAGCTCAACTAGTTTAAACTCTGTATTACACAGATATAGAAACCAAGGCTCAGAGAGGGGAAGAAATTCACTAAGGTCACACAGCAGATTAATGAAGGGCTGGGCATCACTGGCTGATGGAGGCTACAGTTTCTCATTCCAGCTTATGGGGGTAAGTGGAGTAAGGTGTGATGGGGTGAAGTGTCCATGTTGCTGGCATCTTGGAAAAGAGGCTTCCTCAGCCAGTAGTAGGGACAGTGGTTAAGAGCTTCGACTCTGGAGTCACATTGCCAGGGTTCAAATCCCTCTTCTACCACCTAGAAGCTGTGTCACCTTGGGGTAAGTTCATCCATTTCTCTGAGCCTCAGTTTCCTACCTTGTCAGCGGGGAAAACAACTACGCTTACCTAATAGAGTCATCATGCTACAAATTAAATACTAGCCACTGTGACCACGACCACCATCATCTCCATTATCAGCACTGTCATTCTCAAGCCAGGGTGATCAAAGTGTTAGGAGTGCCCCCTCCACTCACTTTAAGGCACATGGGCACGCTGCAGTATTTCTTGGCATCTTGTCTTGTCCATGTGTAAAATAGGCTAGCTAATAAGACCTTCCCTTCCCGGGTGACAGAGGAGTTGCAAGGGTTAAAGGTAAAAATCCTCGCTAGTGGCCTCCATAAAGTTAGAGGCGCCTCACCATTTTGCTGTGCTGTTCAAGGTGCGGTAGTGACTCCCTGCTCAGTTCGGTTGCCCTTCACCCTGACCCTTGGAAGTCATCTCTAGCAACCATTTCCCTCCTGCCAAGCTCATCTGGTGAAATGGGGGCTTCTCAAAGCATCTTTAAAGACTACCACTAGGTGGCGTTCCACCACACACCTGTGGCCCCCAAGGATACCAAGAGGTGTTTGTATGCTGGGGGTGGGGCAGGGGGGTGAGCAGTGAAATCCCAAGTGATTGGGCCATGGTGTGGGTGTGTGTTTCCTCTGGGGGCGGGGGCAATGCGGAGGCCACAGGCTCCTCAGTCCTGCATATCTAAGTGCAAAACTGAGTCCACACCACTTGCCCATGGTGAGACCTTGGGCCTCTCTGAACCTCAGTATCCTCATCTGGAAAATGGTGATAATGATGTTGTCGTGAGGACAAAAGATGAGCAGGGGGATTAAGAGACCATGAGGAAAGTGTCAAGTACAGGGCATGGAACACAGTAAGTGCTCACTAAACAGGGCCCTTCTTGGAGGTTCTACTGGTGTGACTGGGAACACACTAGGTCAGAGCTTCTAGAGCAGAGAGATGTGGCCAGACCTGGCTGTGCATGTGCATCTCCTGGGGGTCCTATTAAAAGGACAGCCCAGGCCCCACTGCAGACCTGCAGAACAGGACACTTTGGGTACAAAGACCAGGGAGATGTCACTGTTCTGAAGTGCTCCCCAGCCAGGTGTGACCTTGGAGGCCATTCCAGTCCCAACCCTCCCATTTTGCAGATGAAAAAACTGAGATCTAGAATAGGGGACTGACCAGCCCTCGTCCACACAGCTAGGGAGTAGCAGAAGGCCTGACTCCAGTATATACTGCCTGCTGTGGCTCTGGTAAGGGCAAGGCCTGAAACAATTGTCTGAGCTGGGCCAGCAGATGGATGACCACTTGAGTTCTTCCTCCTTTAAAGCTAGAGCTGGGATGGGGGGCGGTGAAGCTCTGGGGCTCATCTGGGCCCCTCCTCAAAAGGGAAAGGCCCACTCATCTACAATATTTGTCACAGAACTCACTGCTGAATAATGATGCCACATATTCCATGTTTTCTTATCATAAACCTGAAGTGCAGCCCAGGCTGACAGCTTTCTCACCTTACACATGAGAAGACAAGTTCAGAGTGGAGAAGCAGCTTTCCTCAAGGTCATCTAGCTAAGAGCAGACAGACTCGCACCTTCCACCTCTCGGGCTAACGTTCTTGTCCGTACACTAGAAGCTGCAAGCTTCCAGCCTAAGAACCACCTTAACCTGCCGTGTGTTTTATTGGTCTTCTATTGCGTTGCAATTAAAAAAAAAATTTTTTTAATCACGAAAAATTAGATTTCCTAGCAAGTGCAGATATCCAGTTTCTCTGAAAATCTGGAGTTGTGGCAAAATAAGGCTTATATCCCTGAAAGGTTGTAATTAGCCAGAGCTGAACAGAAGCCACACCCCCTACAGGGGACACACTGGCTTCATCAGTCCCCATCGCCTCGCGCTGTCTCAGTCATCCAGCGGATTCACTCACTATGTTACCTGCCTGGTCCTGGTGGGCCTTTGGATTTGAGACGCCTGCCAAACGCTATGGCCTTTCTGCTGAAATTCGTCACAAATGGCTTCCCTGAGGAACAGAGAATGAGGTTAATGAGATTGGTAAGATTCTTTCCCAGGAACTTGGTGCCAGGGATTACCAGAGGCAGCCCAGAGGTGGGGTCCCTCCCAGGGGGTGCTCTGGGGAAGCCCCAAGCCTGGTCCCAGATCTTCACCTTCACAGATGGGGCTGGGGGAACCCCTCCCACATCAGAGCCTGTTGGGGGCAGGCAGATGGAGCCGTAAATCACGTTAGCCTGTGGCAGCTGTGCAAAAGCTATGTTTCTGTACGTTTGCTGCTGGGCACACTCTGAGAATCCCCTTGACCCCGTCAGTCAGCAGCACGAATGCCTGGCCACTCTTTTGCGAACCCATATCCATTATTCTGTCGTGTCTTCTTCACCAGGTGAGCAGGACGGCCAGCTGGAGCCTTGCACTTATTCAAAACTCGACTGAGGCATCTCAGGGCGGCGGGGCAGCTCCAGGCTGCCTGGGTTTGAATTGTGCCTCCTTCCTTTACCACACTGTCTTTAGGCAAAGAACTTCTCTGTGGCCGTGTTTTCTGATCTGTAAGGTACAGCTGCCTTGTAGGGTTACTAGGATGATTATAGTGAATAGTATGAGCAAATTCCTTAGCAGAGTGCTTTATAAACAGCAAACGCTTAATAAACGTCAGCTGGGTGATTAGTGTCACGATCACCAGGTATCTATATATTCTATTGGCTGCAGGTGGTTTAGGGCACAGCCATCAAACCCAGTAAACAAACTAACAAGATCGTTCCAGATGATTTAACAGCTATGATGAAAACAAAGGGGTAAGGAAAGAGACCTGGGGGATGACAAAGACCTCTTTGGAAGGTGACCTTGTGGGCTGAGGTTTTTCAACCATGGCACGGCGGTCATCTGGGCCCAGTCCATTCTTTAGTGTGGGGGCTGTCCTGTGCGTTGTAGGATGTTGGGCAGCATCCCTGGCTTCTGCCCGCTGAATGCCAACCATGTCCCTCTCCCAACTGTGACGACCAAAAGTATGTCCAGACATTGCCCAAAGTCCCCGGGAGGGCACAAATGAGCCCCGCTGAGAATCACTGATATAAGGGATTAAGAGAGGGGAGCATTCAGATGACAGAATAGATGGCTTTGGAGAGGTGGACTTTGAACCCAGAGGGTATGAGGAAGTGGAACCTTAACCCTGACCTTAATCCAGGCATTTGTGATGTTCAGCCGATTTCCTTAAACTAAATCACTCTCACTACCTCCATGATGGGTTCTGTTTTTCTGGAGAACCCCGCCCGATTCAGAGCTGGGATGTCAAGCCTCACTCACCCCCACTGCCCAGCCCGTGTCCCAGGGAGGCCCAGCTCCAGCTCCGAGGGCAGGAGCCCGTCTTGCTGTCATGCCCACAACCTCTTGGCACCAGTGTGGGTGCCCATCCCCGGAGGCTGACGTGGGAGAGGGAGGGAGGGCTGGCTGGGAGAAGGCCAGGAAGAGAACCCAGAGAGGCCACGAGCAGGTGATGTGTTTATTGCGGGACCACTTTTTTTAGGGGCTGGGCTGGCTGTGAGGTTCTACTGGGGGGGTGACGACAACACGGATGGACGGACCCTCCCAAGCGCCCAGCCCCAGAAAAGACAAACACAATAACTTGGAATCCAAACCAGTTGCACATAAATAGAAGGAGGTTGGCAAAAGAAAAAGAGAAAACAACAAATGAATGTGCACTTTCCTATGCTAGGGTGACAAAGCGGCCCCGCACCGCCCACGTCCAGGCTCTTCTTTACTCAGCTTCCACGCTAAGGCTCCCATCTGCTCTGAAAACCGCCTTCAGATCCGACTCCTGGCAGCCTCCCTGCCAGTCTCCTGGACTGGCAACCAAGTCAAGAAAACTAAGATGGGTTCTTCTCAAAAAAAAAAAAAAAACCAACCAAAAACCGCCTTCGTGGTTCTCTGCACCTCCCAGTCCTAGGGGGTGAATAATGGGACCTCTGACCCTAAACCAACCAAAACATAAAACACGCTGAGCACAAGCCGTGAGTCAGAATAAAAACATATTGCACATGCTTCCAAGAGTCTTCCTGAGAGCCCTCTCACTGCAGAGACCCAAATACTGGCTTCTGATCCATCCTGTCACTGGCTGTCAGTCGTGTAACAGACCCTGCACACCCCCAAATCCCCAAAGCCAGTTGGCATCAGGCATACAATCCCACATTATGAGCCTCTGCTCTGAGCCAAACTTGAGGCTGAGGCTGGGTTTAGCCTCAAGCAGGAGATGCATGCGGTGGAAGGACGTGAGTATTGCTGGGTTTAAATCTTTGTCTACTTTTCAACAAGCTTTCTCCTCTGGGTGGTTATCGAAGTTCTACAGGTGAACAGAGCATCCAAGACGTGGAATCTTCCAGAACCGAGAGCCTGGAAAGTGGTTCTCCCCAACTATATGCTTTTGCAAAGGGCGCTCTGTGGTTAACCACAGGTCTGCCCCAAGCCGGGTTAAAAATCTACAGCCCTTGCATGGGACAGGCAGTGTGGCGATCACCACCATCTTTCTCCTAAGGACTTTTCAAGTAGCACAAAATCCCTGATACAGCATGTAAACAAGACATCTTACTGAACAGAAAGCTAGGTCACTTCGGGAAGCAGCAGCATGTGAAATATCTAAAAGGCTGAAGAGGGTTTTAGGTTCCATAACAAAGCAACAAGACAGCTGCCCACTGTGCCTCGGAAGGCAGACAGACGCTCATGCACGAACACACACACAGGCCCCTGTGGATGGAGCCAGGGGAAGAAAAGCACCCCAGATAGCATCTACCGGGGGTCTGGAGACACATCAGGCTGCCCCCTTTTCAGTGGTGTAGCTGCCATCGGCAAAGAATAAAGGAGTCTTTGATGCTAAAACCTGGACGTGCTCATGAACTGCTGGTCTGCATCCAGTCCCCAGTCTCCTGGCCTCTTCCCAGGTCTTTCTCGACCCGCTGGGCCCCTCTCCAGGGGCTGGCCACCGAGCCATCTCCTTGCATCCCAGCCACACGTGGAAGACGTTTTCCCGAGCAATGCTCTTGGGTGAGGTATGTCACTGCCTGTTTTGCCCCAGGTCAGTTTTATTTAAAAAGAGCATGCATCCTCTCCGTTCAAGGGTCCGGAGGCTCTGCGGGGACAGCCTCCCAGGCGCCTCACTGGGCTGAGCTCCCTTCGTCAGCATCCTCTTCCTCTGCCCAGATCTCCAAGGCCTCCCTGCGTGGCTAAAGGTGCCCTATCTGTCGAAACAGCCCGCAGGGAACGCGTGGCTCCCGCTGAAGTAGCTGCTCCCGTAGGTGGCGGCGAGGCAGTGTCTGGGCTCAGCTGCAATAGCCATGTGCATGCTGAGGGACGTGGGCAGCGGCACGGGACACACGTCCAGGGGCTGGAGGGTGGGGTACAGGGCATGGAGGGATGAGCCGCTGCCCCCTGAGAGCAGGGTCCCCGAGTGGTGGGCCTGCAGCGAGTCCCGATAGGCCACGCACAGGTCCTGCACGGGGGTCTGGAACTGGGCCAGGGCCATCGCTGTCGGCTGGCCGAGGCCGGGGTAGGCGGGTGGCTGGAACAGCACCTGGGTGGGAGCTGGGGGTGTGCCGGGCACCATCGCCAGGGCCTGGCTCTTGACCGCGACGGCATCCTTGAGGATGTTGTCATAAGCTCTGAAAGGAAAGGACTTGGGTGAGACTTGGGAGGTCAGAGGCTCCAGCACCAGACACCTGCCTTGCTGAGGGGGATGCCAGGAGACCCATGTGTTGTGACTGCTGGGCCTCTCCCAGCCTGGGCTCACTGCCTGAAGCACTGCCTCAGCTGTTCTCTGACTAAACTCAGGCCTCAGGTCTCAGCTTGGATCTGCTTCCTACAAAAGCCCTCTTCTGACGCCTCAAGACTAGCCTAGCTGTCCCTGCAGCCCCTCTGCACTGCCCCACCTTGGCGGTCAACACCACAGATGATAACTTCCGGTCACTACCTGGTCCCTCGTGCAGAGTTCGAGCTTCGACCCATCTGCTTTTGCTCATCGCTGCATCCCCACCCTGGGCACAGCGCCTGCCCTAAGAGGGCAGAGCTCCCGGTGCTTAGGTGAGCACAACCTCTGCCTTCAAGGCACTTCCAGCCAGCTCCATCCCCAGCTAAGCTAGCAGATTTCAAGCAGGTTGCCCCCAGGGACCTAAGTGTCTCCATCTGAAAAGGGGGATGGAACAGGTCTTTTGCCATCTCAAAAAAAAAAAAAGCTTCCCGTAGTAAATCTTTTTGGGAAAACAAATCAATTAGAGGCTTCGGTAAGAAAGGAACAAGTGGAGGCTGCAGCAGGTCTGAGCAGGAGGCTACCCCAGAGGGACAGCCTTGGGGAAGAGGCAGGGCTGGTGGCTCAGTATCCAGGGGCACCCATCCTCACTCAGGCTAGACCGTGTTCTCCAGCTTTGGGCACCCTCTAGAAGGCAAATTCTAAAATAAGGGCTAGGGCACAGGACTGATTCCAGAGGAATGGGACAAAGGCAGCTGCACCAGGAGGCTGAGAGGTGGCTCTTCAGGGGCTGGCCCCGTGGTCAGCGGGGCCAGCATCCAGGAGATGCCACCAGCCGTTGGGTGGAAGAGAGACCAGGTGCAGCCAGGCGAGGGCTTTCTGTCCTCTCTGCCCTCCTCCCTGCAGTCACTACTGAGCTCTTTTGCTTCCGATATCAGTTTCAGGGTGTTCTGTCTATGATGCCTTTAAGCATCCTCTCTGAAACAATGAACACTTCCTCCCCAAGATTCCCAAGGACCCTTGCAAGGAGGCTGTGGCCTCTTATGTGGAGCCACCCTGGGCTTAGCTGGCTAAGAGTCAGCTTTGTGGCCATGTCTGAGAAAAGCAGCTCATAATGAGAGTGTCTCAATATAATCACCCAGAAGACTGACTGATACACTGGGTCAAAGAGCCCAAGACACTCAGAAAGATGTGCACAGAGCCCTTCTGCGGCTACACTCTTGACCTACAAATTGCAAACCCAAAGCTACTCAAAATAGGAGGGACCAACTCCCCGAATCCCAATTCTGTCAGGAGTCACCACGGCCCACTTTCCGTGAGCCATCAACCCACCATAAGCCTCCAGGAAATTGCCTGAAGTGGGTCTTATGAGCAAGTGGAACTTCGGTATTTCCGAAACACAAAGGATCAGGAGGGGAACTTACACCAGCAGGATTTCGATGCATGTGCTGAGATGTTCCAGGGAGTAGTTTGAGATCCTCTGCAGGTCTCTGGTCCAGTAGGGAGAAAGCTGAAGGCAAATCCTAGAGGCCCCGACGCAGGCTGCGGCCACCACAGAAGGCTGGAATTTGTAGAAAATATGATCTGAAAGAGAATCACAGAGAAAGAGGCAGCATCAGAAAGCCTGGTCCTGGAGTCCTGCCTTGTGCTCCCTGGTAGACAAATGATTAGGTCCAAGGTTGTTCACTGCTCCCGCAAACACACACACACACACACACACACACACACACACACACAATGAAAAATTAAAACAGCATGAATTTCCATTCTTGAATCTTAAAACACCTTGGCTCTCTCAGTCTGGGATTTCTTATGTCAGCCTAGAGCAGCAGTTTTCAAAATACCATCCCTGGCTTCTAGGGGCTGCAGTGGGCTTGCTGATGGGCTACAAGCAGAACTGCCAAACACCTGTTCCTTCCTTTGGTTGTTAGGGGTGACTGACACACTGTTTCAAAGGCTTCTTTTTGAGGTTATGACTGAAGGCTACTTAGTAACAAAGCCTGGCCCTCAGTAGGCACTCACTAACAATCTGTTGAAAGAACTAAAGAATGAATGAATGCCTGTAAGTGTTTGATATTCTTAACTAAAATTGGAACTTGACTTATGTTTACTGGGGAATCCTCCCCACCACCACCCCAGCTTTACTGATGTATAATTGACAAATAAAACCTGTACATATTTACAGTGTACAGCGTGATGTTTTGGTACATGTACACACTGGAAAATGATCTGAGAAATCTTAACGTCCTACTTTGATATCTGGCAACATGGCAAAGCTGGGACTACTTATGTGCAAAGGCAAAGCGTTGAAATTCCCGCAATTCTCATGAAGAACAGTCAGTTATCAGCGCATTATTATGCTGTCTTAAACTGTTTATGACTTTCAATGATTTCAACATTTGCCTGTTAAAGTATGAATTAGGCAGGGTGGTACGGTTACAGACACAGAGTCAGACTCCCCAGGTTCAAATTCCAGCAATGGCCTTGGGTAAGTTACTTCACGTCTTGAGTAACAACTAAGGAAACTGATTCGTAAAATGAGAATAGCACAAATGATTTTCATGTGAAGTCGTTGTGAGGTTCAAATGAGACAATGCATGCAGAGCACTAAAATAAGGTGCCTGGTACATAGTAAGTGCTCATTTAATGCTTGATATCACAATTGTTGATGTTGTTACTGATATTATTGATATTTGGTTTGCAGTGGGTTATCAGGTGGTTGTATCAACAGTATTTCTGACCTAGTGTTGTACTTAATACCTAGATCTTTAGATACTTCAAATAAAAGTCCCCAAGCAGGACAAAAGTTTATTGCTAAAGCAGATGTAAACATAATCCTCTCTCCCACCCTACCTGTATAATGATAGCTCTTCCGGAGTGACCTACTTGTGGATTTGCATTGTGTTCCAGATTAGTGTATAAAAAACTACCAGGGCTTCCCTGGTGGCGCAGTGGTTGAGAGTCTGCCTGCCAATGCAGGGGACACGGGTCCGTGCCCCGGTCCGGGAAGATCCCACATGCCGCGGAGCGGCTGGGCCCGTAAGCCATGGTCGCTGAGCCTGCACGTCCGGAGCCTGTGCTCCGCAACGGGAGAGGCCACAACAGTGAGAGGCCCGCGTACTGCTAAAAACACAAACAAAACAAAAACTACCAGGTGATCAGTAAATAGGCTACCAGCTGCCTGCATACAAGCTGCTACTTCTCTTTTACACGTTACTGCTAACACATGGTTGAATCGTTGCTCCTTCCCTGCTGATCCCTGCCAAGTGGAGTGATCTGGTGATTTGGGCGGATGGGCCCCCATCAGCAAGGACTCCCTGGGGCAGATCTCTCAGGGCCCCTGACCCCAGCCCCCATGTGGTGGGGGGGAAGGGCGGACAGGCCCTGACATCAGCCCCACCTTGCAGGGTGACCTCTAGGAAGTAGTGGGCGTACTCCTTGAGGCACTCTTTGGTCTTGCGGGGGCAGGTGGTGGGCCAGCTGTGGCAGTGGTGGTCCTTCTGGCTGACGGAGGCCAGGAGGTAGTAGTCGAGGAAGTGGGCAGGCGTGGGCAGGCAGAGGTTCCAGCCGAAGGCCTCCAGCAGCAGCAGCTCTGTGCTCAACAGCTCCTTCTTGGTAAGGGAGAAGTTCTGGCTGCTCAGGATTCTCGTGCTGTTTATCTGTTCCAGCTTGGGGACGTGGTCTTCCCTGTCCTCGAACTTACCTGAGGGAGAAGCAGAGGTTACTGGGACTTTTACAACACTTGCTGTAAAAGCCCACCTTAAAGTACCTGGACGGTGCTGGCAGAGAGAAGAGCAAGCCCAAAGGCACACATTCCAGATCTGTCACACCTGGGCTCGAATCCCCAGGCCATCACTTCCAGCTGTGCCGTGTGGTCATGGAAAGGTGTCTCACCCTCTCTGTGCCTCAGTTCTCTCACATGTAAAATGGAACTTATACATCCTAAACATTTTGTCAGATTCAATGGGAAACCTCACACCAAATGTTCAGACCAGCAATAAGGATCACAGAAGGTGATTGACAGCAGTTAGCAACAGCAGCAAGGGCCTGGGGAGTAAGGTGGCCCTCCCATCTGGTCCTCGCTAATTCAGCCTCAGGACTGGTCAGGGGGCCATTGTCACGGTGACCTTGCAAATCTGGTCCTGTCCCTCCAGATGTGGAAAAGTCCTTCAGTGGCTCCCCAGTATCTTCAATACTGAGTTTAAACTCTGTCAATGGGTTCTTTAGTTTGGATTCCCCCACACACAGTTTGCTTGGGATGTGAGCCTAGGAAAGATCTGTAAGTAGGAGAAGACAGGAAAGGGACAAAAGCCAAAAGGGCACTTGATCTTGAACAGGTTTCTGCACCCCTATGCTCACTGCAGCATTATTCACAACAGCCAAGACAACCTAAGTGTCCCCTTTCAGATGAATGGATAAAGAAAATATGGTATTTATATACAATGGGATATTATTCAGCCATAAAAAGAAGGAAATCCTGCCATTTGGGACAACATGGATGGACCTTGAGGGCATTATGTTAAGTGAATAATGAGAGAGTCAGAGAAAGACAAATACTGTTATGATATCTCTTACATGTGGAATCTTAAAAAAACAAACTCAGATACAGAAAGCAGATTGGTGGTTGCCGGAGGGGGTGGGGGATGTGAAGATAGTCAGAAAGGACAAACGTCCAGTTATAAATTAGTCCTGGGGATGCAACGTCAGGCATACTGACTACACTTAACCGTATTGCATATTTGAAAGTTCCTAAAAGAGTGGATCTGAAAAGTTCTCATTGCAAGAAAAAAAAGTCTAACTATGTGAGATTACGGATGTTAACTTATGGTGGTGATCATTTCACAATATATGCATATATCAAACCACTGTACACCTTAAACTAATGCAGTCTGCCAACTGTATCTCAATAAAACTGGAAAACAAAAAAAGTGGTGTCATGTAACTCCCAAAGCGAGGCTTTAAGAGGTCTTGCATCTTCTGCCTTTGCCCCGCCTGGAGTGCCATTCCGAGACCTCTGTGCAAGGAATCAAGTCTAGCCTGTTGGAGGTGAAGAGGCCACAAGGAGGAGAACCAAGATGCCCAGGCAACAGCCCAGCCAGCACCGACCCTCACACACGTGAATGAGGCCACCCTGGACCTTCCAGGCCAGCGGATCCTCCAGCAACTGTATGAAGGAGTCCAGGTAATACCAGCACAGAAACCACCAAGCAACCCACATCGTTGTTGTTTTAAATCACTTAGTTTTGGGGTGATTTGCTTTGCAGGAACAGACAACTGGAATACATTCATATCAATGCACAGTGGCAAAAAGATGCGAAACCCTACAGACAGACATGTCACACAGCTCGGGAAGTACCGAAGGAATAATGACCTCATACTGGAAGGTCCTGGAAATAATCTGCAGGAAATAAATCCGCATGACGCTAGATACAAACAAACAGAAATAAAGCACAAGCCTGGGGTTATCCCACTCAAGGGTCAAGGAACCGAGGACTTCCATAGCAATGTCCCCCTGGCAGTCACCAGTTGTGGAAGGCCCTAGTGGCAGCCTCTGCTGTGGAGGGCTCTGCAGGCAGGGGGCGTGCAGCCACCACACCCTCACTCGGGGGAACCACGCACACCTGGCTGTAGCCTCGGCCACGGAAGTTCTCTGCAGGCACCGTGCCCTCCTTGCCTACGAGCCTTTGTCCGCACAGCCCCTCTGCACAGAGCACCCTTCCCCATCCCCTCTTCACTCCGCCAAGCTCACCCCGTCCTTCACCTCGAAGCCACTGCCCCCTGGAAACCTTCCCTGACCATGGTCCCCACATGCTGCCCGATGTCCACATCGGATGGTGGTGGCCTCGGTCTGGTCACCTTGGCCTCCAAGCCTAACCTCACTGGCTGCAGAACAGCTGCGGGAGCAGGTGTCGGAAGAGGCAGTGGGCGACCAAGTTGAGCTCTGAGCACACATGTGTGCCGATGAAGGGAACAGCCAACAAATCATCCACACACCTGTGCTCAACTGCCAGCTCCCCCTGACCCAGTTCTCAGCAGACGCTCAGGCTCGCTGAGAGAGAAGGAAGTAACCACTTCAGGCAGGCGGCCTTGCAGCAGATACAACACATTCCTCACGAAGGCCTCAAAAGATGTCACTGAGAAATGAAACACTGACTCTGGGAAGCCTGCATCCTTCTTCTCTGGGAGCCAGGCAACAGCCCACTGGGTGGGCAGAGATGGTGACGTGAAGCTCTAGTGCTTGCCACGGAGGAGCAGAGACGATGCTGACCGGTCCCGAAGCGGCTTATAGCAAAGCAGCCCAGACTCATCTCCTTCCAGAGCCCCATCCACGGCCCCGCCGGCGGAGCACACACCTTACTCCCTTGCCCTGTACCAGGGCAACTCAGGCAGGAAAAGGTGAGGACAGTGCTGCCCCTTGCCCAAGGGGAAGAGGCTCTTGAACGCTGAAATCCTGGGTAGGGGGGACCCTGCTGACCAGGCCTTGCTGCCTTCCGCAGCCTCAGGGCCCCTCACCCTCCCCAAGCACTAGATCCAGCCACACTTGGAATCTGGCCCCTCCTCCAGCGGGTGTGCTCATCCCCTCACCCCCTTATCATGTGTCCTCCAGAGCTCAGTTCAGAGGCCGCTCGGTGTCATCAATGCACTTCTCACGCTCAGATTGTTTCATCTCAAATAGTAGTATCAGTGGCCAGCACCTAACCATTAATAGGTCATTAACAAGTGTGAGCCCCAGAAAGATAGGAACCATGTCCCACGTATTCGAAGGTGTTCCCCGAGGTGCCAGCACAGTCCCCGGCACACAGTAGATGCCCAATGCCTATTTGTTGAGAGAATGAATGGTTCTCTCTGGATAGCTGAATTGTAGGCCATTTGAATTGTTCTCCGATGCTCTCTGATTATCTGTGTCTGCTATTTTTTTCTCCAACAATTCACTTATTCTTTATGCAAATTAAAGAGAAAGAAAATAATATTTTTCTTGCAAAATTGTCAAGGTTTCCCTGAACCTTGGGCTGACGTGAGCCAATGCTGTTCGCAGGCACTCGATAGCTAGAGCTCTTTTCTTCCCAGAGCAGAGGGTGGCACGGTGAAGGTCACCGCTCTGGCAGAAACCTTTGCATCTAGGACCTTTAAAATGGAGAGATCTGGTGTCAGCACCTTAACCAAGCGAGCAAATGTAGCATCGCTATTGCATCGTGCCAGCGGTGGCACCAAGACCCTTCCACGGTCTTGCTGGCAGCCAGCAATCTATTCCAACGGCAGATGTGCTCAATCAGATTAATTTCTCCCTGCCCTCAGTGCTTTTCAAACCTCTCAGAGTTCAGGCCCAAAAGGGATCACCCTCAAATGGAAGGGGCCGTGGATTACTGAGGAATCTGATTCATCTGCTCTCTCTGCTCCCCACACTGGAGAGGCTACATAGGGACCCACCGCACTGCAGAGCAGGGCGGAGCTGGGTCTGAATCCTCGACAAGTTGACCCTGGACCTAAAAGCACTAAACTCCACAGGCTGTTCATTTCTTCTCTAGGAATCCGCCCCACACGGAGAAAGCATAGCTACGCAGGATGCAAAGTGCTGTAAGAAGTACCCAGCACACAGAAATGGACAGAGCTCCCATGCTGGGGCTGGGCACCAGGCTTTGTGCTGGACACACAACAGATCCTCCCAGGTAGGTTCTGTTCGGAGCCCCAGAGGCTCAGAGAAAAAGCTCACGCAAGCACTCAGCTCCACACCTAGGAGTGACCTTACAGCCCCTGCTCTTAGCGAACAACACATTTCACAGCCAGCAAAGATTTTATGAGTTTCCTGGTGTTGCACGTGCCGGGCAGACGTTTCCTCCCCTCCTCCCATGACCGTGAGCCGGGCAGCCCTTTGTCCCCAGCCCGCCACCACCGAGCACCGCCACTCAGCTGCTTGCTCCCTATTGACAAATGGCACAGACAGCAGATGCCTGGGAGTCTTTAGGCAGGTCCCCCAGGAGGGGTGGGGTACATTAGTCCGAGTCTTTGCAAGTCAGACAAGAGCCACAGACTGTCTTCAACTTGTTTGATGTACTTTTTATTTGGAAAAGTTTCAAATCCACAGGAAAGAAGAAAGAACTGAACAATGAACCCCGATGACCCTTCCCCAGATTCACCAACAGCTGACATGGAGCCACACAATTGCCATGTGTGTGTGCGTGTGTGTGTGTGTGTGGTATATAAATATTGGTTTTACTGGACCATTTTTTAATTAAGTTGCAGGCATGACATGCCACCCCTGGATATTTCAGCATCCATCCCTGAGGTCATTTTCCTACCTAATCATAATGTTACTAGCAATTGCAAGAACATCTGCATTAATGTAGTTAACATTTTCTAACATTCAATCCATATTTGACTTTCCCCAAGGGTCCCAAAAATGCCTTTATAACCTTTGTTTTTTTGATCCAGATCCAAAAGGCTACACATGGTGTCTGTTACATCCCTTTGGTCCCATTCTTTGTTTGTTTTTCATGACATGGACTCTTTGGATGAATCCAGGCCAGTTGTACAATGTCCCATATTCTGGATTCCCTGATTGTTTCCTCATGATCAAACGGTTTGAGCAAGAAAACTACAGAGGTGACGTTTTGTCCCTCTTAACAGATCACATCAGGAATTATACAACATCAGTTTGTCCCAGCAATAGCGATGCTACATTTGATCGCTTGATTAAGGTGCTGA